AGGACCTTGGAAGGACAGATCACCATGGAGAAAACTCCAAGTTATTTTGTGACAAAGGAAGCCCCGCGGCGCATTTACAATATGTCCAGAGACATCAAGTTGATCGTGGTGGTTCGCAACCCTGTGACCCGGGCCATTTCAGACTACACCCAGACTCTTTCCAAGAACCCCGCCATCCCCAGCTTCCAAAACCTGGCCTTCAAGAATCTGAGCATGGGTCTTATTGATATCACGTGGAGCGCTGTGAGGATTGGACTTTACGTGAAGCATCTGGACCACTGGTTGCGTTATTTCCCTCTATCCAGATTTCTCTTTGTCAGCGGAGAGAGGTTGGTGAGTGACCCAGCTGGGGAAATGGGCCGTGTCCAAGACTTTCTGGGTCTCAAGCGAGTGGTGACGGACAAGCATTTCTACTTCAATGAAACCAAGGGTTTCCCTTGCTTAAAGAAACCGGAAGGGAGCAGCAGGCCCCGATGTTTGGGGAAGTCCAAAGGACGGCCACACCCCAAAATTGACCAGCAGGTTGTCCAACGCCTGCAGGAATTCTACAGACCCTTCAACTTAAAGTTCTATCAGATGACCGGGCAGGACTTTGGGTGGGATTGAGAGATCTCTTGACACAAAGGAGAGAGGTGGAATGTCGTGGGAGCGAACGTGAGGCCTCCTCAAAGATCTCATGATGTACATACTTCTCCCCAAAGCCTGTTGGGCAAAGATGCATCTGAAATGCAACCTCCGAGGAACATTTTTTGACCCTTACTAATTTATATATTGTCCTTCCAATAAGAGAAAATTGTTATGCTTAACAGTGTAGAGAGGAAATTCTTTAAGCCTCCCCAGCTGACATCAGCAAAACGAGAACAAAGGAGGAAAACATAGATCGACTGAAATATTCTGCTAAATAAATCTGGCCAAAATGGATAAGGTTTCTGAATTAGTGTTGAGCGAGAGAGAATAAGTAAAAGAGGGCTTGCCTGGGTGTGAGGGGTCATCACAGTGTCTTCAGTCAGTTTCCCTCTTGCATATACTATTGATTGTACAGGTAGTCCTTGACTTACGACCACAATTGAACCAAAAATTTATGTTGCTAAGTGAGGCATTTAAGTGAATTTGCCCTGTTTTATGACCTTTCTTGCCACAGTTGTTAAGTGAATCACTGCAGTTGTTAAATTAGTAACATGGTTGTGAAATGAATCTGGCTTCCCCATTGACTGTGCTTGTCAGAAGGTCACAAAAGGGGATCACAGGACCCCGGGACACTGCGACCATCATGAATACGAGTCAGTTCCCAATCCTCTGAAGTTTGATCACGTGACCCTGGGGGATGCTGCAATGGTTGTCAGTGTGAAAAACGGTCATAAGTCCCTTTTTTCTGTGCCGTTGTAACTTCAAACGGTCACTAAATGAACTGTTGAAAGTTGAGGACTACCTGTATTTCACATGAATGATGTAAAAAAAAAAAAATCGGGCTGCAGTTCCACCCCAAATCAAATCACTGGCATTAACAGTGGGGTGGTGACAGGGCAACATGGATGTAGAATTTATTGAAATGAGTCAACGCGCTTACATGCATTTGGGGAAACTTTTGTTCTGCAGACAATTTTGTGAGAACTTCTTGGGGGTGTCCCCAAATTTCCTGGTGTATAAAGGACCAAGATTAGTTAGTGTGTTAATGCAGAACATTCCAATTGCACGACACACATTGCATACCCAGCCTATGTCTGCGTGCAGTGTGAGAAAGCACAACTACACATTCAGAATCTGCACACTGGTGGAAAAAGATGCTACTACTTTCCCAAGGTCTAGGTTGCATATAAAAGATTAATGGACTCCAGGTAGCTAAAGTAACCACTGGTCGAAGGAAAACCCAGAGTGTATTTCGTACAAAAAAACCAACAACAACACAGGCTGACGATACAGTATTTCATTGGCGCATTCAGCTCCTGAGCATTTCAGCTTTTTTAAAATTTAAAATTCAAATTTCCAGCTGTTTATGACCGAGAAGATACTGTATGCTTAAATGTACAACTGTTACTTGCATACTACCTGAAAATCAAGGAGTCATTTTCTTCCTAAAATTTATGGGAAGATATACTGCAGGTCTGTGGAGATTTTCAGTCATCCAGGTCATAATTGTCTCCAAGGTGCTTTTGCAAAAGGCAGCTGGACTGGACTTTTCAGACAACTATGACCCGGATGACTGAGAATCTCCACGGACATTGAAATGTTTTGCTCTTCTTCCTCAAGAAAGAAACAGTCCAGTTGCCTTTTGAAAAAGCACCTTTGAGATATCCTACAGGTTCCTTCAAAAAATCTCATCCATCACTGCTGACAGAACCAGCATGAATGACACAAAATAAGATCATTTGTGCAGGCACAGAATTTTTCATTTCTTCTTAGAACACACGTGATCTGAAACACATTAAACTGCTTTGCACGCGTCCGTGGGCATTCCCCACTTGGATGATGTATGTCTTGCAATCAACATAAACTGAAGAGCTGTGCTTGGATGATGTGCCATTTGTGCATGGGACCATCCAGGTCTTCCCACTCACGGTGTGTGACCGTTGGGCACAAAGGATCAAGCATGAATGGGTCCATCAGACTCAATAAACTGCAGCCAACGGAACAAACATTTTGGAGAAGAGGCAGAGATTCTATTGTTATTTTTAGGGTAGATCTGGTAAAGGCTAACCCAAAAGTTTGGTGGAACTTCAACAAGAGTTCCTGTAGGACAGGGGTAGGCAACCTTGGCTCTTTTATGACTCGTGGACTTCAACTCCCAGAATTCTGGGAGTTGAAGTCAGTGGCGTAGCGTGGGTTGTCAGCACCCGGGGCAAGTAATTTGCGCCCCCTCCACAGTGGGCGGCGTCGGCAACCCGGCGGCTCGGTTCGGATTCGCACAGCCAGCACTGCAGAGAGAGTGAGTGAGCCAGGCAGGGGCAGAAAGCTGCGAGTGCGAGTGCGCCCCCCCCAGATGTTGCGCCCGGTGCGGCCGGCCCCCCCTGCACCCCCCACACTATGCCTCTGGTTGAAGTCCACGAGTCATAAAAGAGCCAAGACTGCCTATCCCGTCTGTGGAACTCTTAGCAGTAGCTAATAAAAAGAAAATAACAGAAGCCCATCTGTTCCACTCTCCAAATGTTTATGACCGGTTTTTCTGGTTCACACTTTCACATGGGTGTGCCGCATGGATTTGCAAAGCAAGTGAGCCCTTCTAGAAAAGACAGTAGCTGTGCTCTTTTATACAGGCTGATCACACAGATGAGCAGGATTTTAAAAAAAAAAACACAGATGTTTGATGCTAACCTGCTTGTAGTCTTGCAAGTGTTGCAGAAAACAATCACTTTCAGCCACACACAAAAAACATTGTCTTTGATTTTTAAGCTAAGCAATAGAAGACGTATTTGCCAGCTACTAGCAAAAGGAAGGACTGTAGTATATAGGTAGTCCTCGACTTAACAATCACAATTGAGCCCAAGATTTTTCTTGCTGAAAAAATTGTTAAGTGAATTTTACCCCATTTTATGACCTGTCTTGTCCCAGTTGTTAAGTGAATCATTGCAATTGTTAAGTTAGTAACCCGGTGGTTAAGTGAATCTGGCTTCCCCATCGACTTTGCTTATAAGAAGGTCGCAAAAGGGGATCACATGACCCCGGGGCACTGCAATTGTCATAAATATGAGTCAGTTGCCAAGCATCCGAATGTGAACCACGTGACCGTGGGGATACTGCAAGGGTCATAAGTGTGAAAAAGGGTCATAAGTCACATTTTTCAGTGCCGTTGTAACTTCGGACTGTCACTAAACAAACGATTGTAAGTCAAGGACTTCCTGTACTTGCACTGACCATGCACCCCACCATATTGTGCTTACTTTTACACCCATAATCTTAAACTCTGCTGGGAACTCACTGAGCATCTCTTTTAGCATGAAATCAACTGAGCCTTGTAACTTCGTTGTTTAGTGCTCTCCTCTCTCTCTCTCTCTCTCTCTCTCTCTCTCTCTCTCTCTCTCTCTCTCTCTCTCTCTCTCTCTCTCTCTCTCTCTCTCTCTCTCTCTCTCTCTCTCTCTCTCTCTCTCTCTCTCTCTCTCTCTCTCTCTCTCTCTCTCTCTCTCTCTCTTTCACTGAGCATCTCTTTTAGCATGAAATCAACTGAGCCTTGTAACTTCGTTGTTTAGTGCTCTCCTCTCTCTCTCTCTCTCTCTCTCTCTCTCACACACACACACACACACACACACACACACACACACACAGTTGCCATTGTGCCAATGGAAGTCACATCCCAGCTGGCCCCTGGGGGCTTGGATATCAGACGTCCTTGGGGAGTGGGGAACCTCCATCGTCCCTTTTGCTGGCAGCCTCCCATGATAGACTCTCCTCGGCTTGTTTAGGCTTTGTTTCCACCCTGACATTGGACCAAATTATTCTCCACCAAGGTCTTTAAAGGTTCCTAAGAGCCGGTGAATGCCGTGGGGGTGGGTGGGGGGGTGGGAAGCTGCGATAGTGATCCTGTTTTTCATCTGAATGCCTGCATTGAGGCCAAGGGCCATTGAGATGCAAAGAGCCCCACGGAAAGCTGGTTTCTGTCTCGGCCTTATGAAAAAAAAAAGGGCGAGGGTCACTCCCTTTCCCTCCCCACTTTGACAAAGGCAGGACCTGCATCTCCAAAGCCACACAATATGGGATCGAGGGGGGCTTTCAGAGGCTCTGACATGACCCCGGAGGTCTGGAAGGGAGCCGTGGGCTGGCAGGCTCATGGAGGGCATTCTGTGGCCTAGGCAGAAACTGGGA